TGGGGCCTCCCGGCGGCGGGGGGGGCCGCGAGCCGGGCGGCACGCTTTGTACCACCACCGCTCGTCGCGCCTCTGAACCCGGGTTGGCCTAGCTCTCAAATTAAAGGGCTGACGACACGATCCCTTCGGTCCCATTTAGCCGAAAGCCGAAAGGTCTCCGCTGCCCTGGCCCCGCCATCCCGAGGAGAGGGGATGCCCAGGCTGCCCCCATCCCCGCTGGTAGTCCCTTGCCCTACCCGCACGTACCTGGTGGCGCCCGCGCCGCTGCCCTGCGCGCCTCCAGCCCTGCCCACCTGGAACTCAAGTAGCCCGCGTTTGCGCAACTTCCGGCGGCCGCCCGCAGGTGAACCCGCAAGCCCAGGTATTACCCAAAACGGGGAAGGATAGCCTGGCAGGGGCTGGAGCCGAGCTCCTGCGCTGGTCGGTGGCCCCGCACCGGAACCCGGTGCAATCCGCTGCCCGCCTACCCGGGAAAGTTCTTCCGGGAGCCGGGGCCCGCCCACCATACATCTGGTGCAGGGAGTCCCCATGGCCCGCTCAGGCAGGTTGTACCCATTTTAGAGATGGAAACACTGGACCCCTCCCTCACAGTCACAGTGACGGCCAGTTAATGGTCACTGTGCCAGGCACGGGGGAAAAAGCTTTCCCTGAGAGGAACCCCTTTTAATCTAAGGGGAATTCTATTGTTACCCAGTTGACCGAGGCTGGGACAGGCTGAGTCACTTGCCTAAAGTCACCCTGGGGAATCCAACCTGGGTACTTTCTCTCCAGACTAAACCTTAATGCCTCCCTTTCCACCTGTGTGTCTGTCACCTCAGCAGGCGGCTGGACCTCTCCTGCCCTCCATTCCTCAAGTGAGGAGACATCCACCTTCTGGACCAGGCCAGTGTGAGCTCCAAAGGCCTGAGGGTGCCTGCAGCAGCTCTGTGCAAACGGTGGACATCAGTAAGGGCAGCCAAGTTAGTAATAATAACTAGCACTTCTGCACCCCAGATGCTGTGGTCAGTTAAACCTTCGGAACCCCCTGGCGGGGAGGAACTGTCTAGTCCCCATTTCACAGATGAGACTACAGTCCTGCAGGAAGGAGGCCTGGGAGGGAAGTGACAGTCTCTTCCACCAGCCCAAGCCTGTGTGTCACTTCAGGTGGGCACATTTGCAAGGCCATTTCCACTGGGATGCTGGAGCCAGGTGTCCAAAGAGGGCCCAGGTACATGTCTGTGCCTGGTGGGGGCTGGGTCAGGACTGGAATGGGGATGTGAGAAGGCAGGAAGTAACCCCACTGGCTTTCCTCCCCTCTCAGCTCAGTGCTTCCTCCTCCATCCTGATTTCAGAGGGAGGGGTCAACAAGACCGTGATTCCCCCCAAAGGTCTCCTGGGTCTCCACCTGGTCCTCCACTGAGGCAACAAGGGGGGAAGGAGGAAGGAGACTCCTTTGGGCACTGATGGTAGTCAAAGCAACTACTTTCATAATAAAAAAAGGAAGAACTAAGGGATTCTGAGCATGTTCTTGGTACCAGGTGCTGTCACAAACACTTTACATGCATATTAACACACTTAATCCGCACACCTACCCTGTGTGGGTACTGCTATTATGTCCATTTTCCAGAAAAGATCATTGAGGCACAGAGAGGTGAAGTCTCTTGCCAGAGGTCACACAGCTGGTATATGGTAGAGCCAGGATTTGGACCCAGGCTAGGGTCTGGAAGGGGAGGTGGAAGGGACAGTTTTCAGTGTTGGGCTTTGGCTACTCACCAGAAGTGTCTCAGGGAACCCCTGAAGGATCTACGTTTCCTGGGACCAGCAGATGGCATAATGGTTACATCACTGGATTCCCACATAGTCGACTGCGGTTCAAGTCCCAGACCAGGTAGCTTAAAACTTACGCCAGGCGTGGGAACCAGCAGTTAGCGTAATGGCTATGTCGCTGGACTCCCACGTAGTCAACCGCGGTTCAAGTCCCGGACCTGGTGGCTTAAAACTCACACCAGGCGCGTGTGTGTGCGTGCCCAAGATCCCGAGAGGAGAATGGAGGAGAAGGGATTGCGGCGTGACCATCCCCCCTAGGGGGTGATTTCTCGCTTTCTGTCTCTATGTCTCTGTCTGGCAAGTGCACGCACCCTATAGTGAAAATCTCTCCAAAAAAAAACTCCAAAAAAAAAAAACAAAAAACTTACGCCAGGCGTGTGTGCATGCTTGCCCAAAATGAACTGAGGCATGGCCATCCCCCTGGGGGGGGGGTGATTTTTCACTTTCTGTCTTTCTGTCTCTCAGGCAGTACACACAACCTCAAAAAAAAATCTCTCTTAAAAAAAAAAAAGACTATGGTTTCCTAGACTGGGCCTCAAGGGAATCAGATCTTATCACTCCAGGACTCAGTCCTGGCCCAGTTGGATAGCTAATCTCCAACCATTTCCTGGGCCAGCCAAAGCCCTCTGCTGTTCCTGAACACACCAAGACCTTTCCTGCCTCAGGGCCTCCGCAGCTGTCCTCTGCCTGAAATTTCCCTCACTTCCCCCAGGTCTCACTTCAAATGTCATCTCCTCAGAGAGGCCTCCCTGGCCTAAGCGGCTCCCACCAACTCTCTCACCATTTTGTTCCCTTCCCAGCATTCGCCCTCCTCCTGTCATTTTAGATATTCACTTATCACTTGCTTCCTGTCTTTCCTGCTGGACCGGCAGCTCCATCACACCCTTCCCTGTCGTCTTCCTGCAGGGACCAATACTGCGTCCAAACCTTTGCACACACTGGTTCCGCTGCCTGCACTGCCCTTGCCACTGCCTGCCCCAGCCACCTCTGTAGGATGTGGCATGGATCCAGAACCAGCCTGCCTGAGTTCAAACCCAGCTCCACCAGTGATTACCTCGGAAACCCTGGGGTAGATACTCAACTTCTCAGCTTCCCCAGCTGTACAGCAGGACTCCCGAGGCTGCTTCCTGCCCAGCGCAAGGCCGGTGCATGCAAATACCACCAGAACGTGAGCTGTCATAACTACTCGACCAAGCTGATCTCCTGGGTGCCCAGTTTCTAGGGGAGGCCTTTACCAGCCTGGAATGTTGACCTATTATTCTCATAGGTTCAAATTTGAGAATAGCTAGAGTCAGGACCACAATGGAATGGTTACATCACTGGACTCCCACATAGTCAACAGCGGTTTGAGTCCCAGACCCAGTGACATAAACTCACACCAGGCATGTATGTGTGCATGCCTAAGATCCCAAGAGGAGAATGAAGAAGGGATTGTGGCATAGCCATCCCCCCCTGGGGGGTGATTTCTTGCCTTGTCTGTTTCTGTCTCTCCAGTGAGCCTTATAGCAAAAATCTCTCTAAAATTAAAAAGAGTGCAGTTGGGGCCAGCAGGTGGTATAATGGTTAAAGTGCTGGACTCCGACAGGACTAGTTGTGGGTTCAAGTCCTAGATCTAGCAGCTTGAAAATCATACAGGGTGCATGTGCGTGTGTGCCCAAAATCCCAGAAGGAGAATGGAGGAGAAGGGATTTCGGCATGGCCACCCACCCCAGGGAGGTGATTTCACACTTTCCCTCTCCCTGTCTCTTTCTGTCTCTCTTACCCTATAGCAAAAATCTTAAGAAAAAAACAAAGACTGTAGAGTCACTTAAATAGACATTTCACAAAAAAGATACATAGATGGCCAAGAATCATGAAAAAAAGGGGTTCAACATCACTAATCATTAAAGAAACCACAAAGTACCATATCACACCCATTAGGATGGCCATTATAAAAATAAATAAAAATAGAAGGACAAGATGATGGTGCAGGGAAAACACAGTTCTGAAAGGCTGACCCACACTGGAAGCTTCCAGGTTTGTGTCCAAGACCTCCCTAAACATGTTGGGCACACGTGTGCCCATGGTCCAGGTCTGGCTAAAGCTGGGAGTGGATCATGGCATGAAGACCCTGTTGGGGGAGGCTATCCTCTGTCTGACCATCTCTCTCTATTTCTCTCATTCATGGAAGAAAGAAAAAACAATTTTTAATACAAACAAAAAATAATAAGTGTTGATAAGTATGTCAAGAAATTAGGCAGGGAGAGCGGACTCTGGGCAGAGGGCTGCACACCCATTACAACCTACGTCTTGCCCAGGTTCGGGCTTGCCACTGCCTGGGACACCACCCCTATGCTACTGAAGCAACACATAACTGGCTGCAAAGGCCACTGGAGCCAGGACCCCACACCAAGAGAGGCAAGAGGCACACCTTAAAAAGAAAACACCTTCATGGCTCCTGAGAACTAGTGATTTCAGGGAAAAAAGAGAAATGAAGATTTTCTACTGATAATTCAGCCTCCAGCCCACAAACCTGAGTGGAGAGGCAAGGGGCAGGACTTCAGAAGAAGACACCTCCATGGCTCCTGAGAACTAGTGATTTCAGGGAAAAAATTATTCTATTGATAATTCAGCTTCCAGCCCACAAACTCGAGTGGTAGAAAGCCCCTCAAGCTTTTTCTCTGTCTCTGTCTCTGCTTCTGTCTTCTCATTTTTTGTAATTTTTCCTTTTTAAAACTTTTAAGGTAAAGTATTTCCTCAGCTTTAGCCCCTCCTTTACCTTTATCTTGTTAATAATCCCCTTTCCCCCTCCCACCCAGGAGAGGCAAGGGGCAGGCCTTCAGAAGAATACACCTTCATGGTTCCTGAGAACTAGTGATTTCAGGCGCCGAGCAGCTTTCTATTTTTTTCTTTTTTTAAAAAAAAAGAAAACATTTTCTTTAGTTTTTTTTTCCTTCTTTTTTTCTCTGTTTCTTGGTTGTCGTTGTTGTTGTAGTTTCTCTCTCTCTGTTTCTTTTTCTTTTATCTCATCTCTCTGGTCTTCAATCTCCATTCACCGTGTTTCTAGACGGATCTAAGGGAATATACCCTAACATCCAATTACTATTAGGGTTAACATATTCCTCAATATCTACTGAATCTGCTGTACAAAGGGATCAAAACGGAATGGCAAAGAGATTCCAGATCACCTCTTTCTGCATGCTCCTGAACGCTCAGATTGAACTTCAAATTTAGGTAGAAACACACCATCCATCAGATGACTACAAATCACCATGGGGCCACAAGAAATATGGGAAAGCAAGAAAATACTTCTCCTCCAAGGGAAAAGAATAGCTCCTCTTCATCCACAGACAGTTCAATGGAAATCATGGAAATGTCTGGTAAAGAATTTAGAATATTCATAACGGCAAAGCTAACAGAGATGGAAGAGAGGAGAGACAATGAACTGCAGAAGAGAAAAGAGAAAGGAGATGACGAGTTCCAGGTGAGGAAATTCTTGCAAGATCTAAAAGAGGAATTACACATATTAAAAAATAATCAAATGGACCTGTTAGAGATGAAGGCTATAATACAGGAAGTCAAATCTCCCTTGAAAGTATTAAAAGCAGACTAGATCATACAGAAAGTA